TAGGGAAGATTTGAATGTACGAAGAATATGGAAGTAGATATATAATTGTAACTTGTAAGGGAAGTTGGAAAGTTACTGTTAGTAATGGAATTAAAATGCAAGCGACTTTTCATATTCAGAGGACAATTGATATATTAGTGGACGATTTAAAATTTTGAGTTTATAAATTTTGAATTTAAAAAAAACAGTATTTATTAGAATTTGTATAGTGTGCATTTTGGCCGAAAATATTGTGTTGTCACGAATCATTAGCAAAGTTTATATATGAGCGACTTTAATATTATCAGCTACAATGATTCAGCTTCTTAGTGATATCATAGGCAAATTCAGAATTTGAAAAATCTGATGCACCAATATTAACTTAAGTTAGGTGTTAGCGAAATTTTCGGTAACAATTGTCGGACTTGTAGTATTTAATTGATCGCTAATGGCTTGAACAGTACATAAAATATTAAATACAAATATATAGATCAAATATAAGCTTGTTAATAGTTGTACTCTACTTTGTTATAATCAATAATTTAAGGTTCTAGCTAGGATAGAACCTTAGCTAGCGAGCTATGGGAGTGGTGTTTTGTCTTGTGCTAACGACCCAAGTGCATTTCTACGTTGTTTATGGCTACATTGTTAATTATATTTTTAGTTTCTGTAAGTTTTTTAAAATGAATATTTATATATATACATATAATTTTTTTCAAAGTCAATGATTTACATCACTCTTACCTATACATGTGGCTCCGCTTTTTAGTGATATTGTTTCCTCTAGGTTTAGTCCCGCATAATTTTAAAGCACATCAATAAAATATAAGACTTGTTTATTTATACATATTTAATATATCTATTGTATTTTATTTAATCGATATGAGATTTTATCTTAAACTATGGAACACGTATTAAGTCATCAGATATTTCTCTTTACTTATTTCCGTTCAGAATTGTCAAACTCTACCAATTAATACTTAGATATAATACTATGACAACTTTACTGTTTTGAGCTTGATCTTTTAAATAGTTAATCTTAAAATAACTTATTCTAAATCAAACAATTCCAAATTCGTAAAATTAAAATTTTAGTATAAAGTGATAATTATAAACTTTTTCTGTATTTTATTTGATTGATTTAGAATGATGTCAACTTTCAACTTCTGGAAAGTTGCCTTTGAAATACTTAATGTATTGTCCTCCCTACAAAATCAAATCATTAGCATCTATATAAAGAGCCTATAATTATATTATATTATGTATGTTTTTAGATTATGAATTTTTTTAAAAGAGAGCGTTTTTCTCAATTAAAGGTTTACGTGATTCAAATTTAAAATAGTTGAACTCTAATACAAATATTAAATATCAACTTTAAAAAGAAAAAAGTTATATATCATCGTTTGTTAAAGTTATATACAAGTATTGATAATATAAAAAATAAAAATGAAAGAAAGAAATTTTGTTATTCATAATCATGTAATACTAGTGAACTTATTCGTGCTTCGCGCGATCATAAGAAATGAAAAACAATAATTTTATTAAGTATCATATAAATGAAAATGTGTTTGCAATATAATCTTTAGACCTTGATTTTTTAAAATGAAGAATAACATATAAATTCAATGCATAATTAATCTTTGGAGTTTTTATTGACATTCACTCCATAGGTTGATCATAATTTAATAGTTTGCATCTTATTTTTTTAAGTCAAACTAAAATATGAAAATAATAAACATAAAGAATATAATAACAGCAAAAAAAAAATCAATGTGATGATTTCAACACAATCTAACATTATCTCTCGAAAAAATGTCAATAAAAAAAATTAATGTGATAATTTCTATAAAATTTGACAATATATTTATTTATATGATTATAATATCTAATATCAATACGATTATTAATTACTTTAGAAATTAGAAAAATAAAAAGTTGTTAACGTAATGAAAATAAAAATCATTAAAACTTATATTAAAGAAATGACTTTTTATTTTCTTAGCATTGTATTTAATATAATTAATAGAATTAAAGAATTGAATTTTGAATGATGAAAAAATAAAGAAAAATCCCAAAAAAATGAAAAAAGAAAGGGATAATGCACAAGTACCCATTCAACCTATGCCCGGAATCTCAGAGACACATTTATACTATATTAAGGTTTCATTATCCCCAAAAACAAATTATGTCAATATATAGCATTAAAAAATAAAATAAAATCAAGTAAAAGAATATTTAATTTGATTAGATTTTTGTTTAGTTTGATCTTTGATATTCAATAAGCATCTTACTATAATTTTTTGTGAATTTTTCGTTAAAAAATTATCTTTTAGAGGTACCCTAAGAGTTTGATTTAAATTTTTTGAGGTATAAAAGATTTTAAAAAATTCAAATATATTTTTTCCGGGCTACTAAGGAATTCTCTCCCTGTTTCAAAAAAATGAAAATATTTCATTTTTAGTCTGTTTCAAAAAGAATGTCTTGTTTTCTTTTTTGTCAACACTTTAACTTTAACTTTTCTCGTGGCATGTTTAACATCACAAGATTAAAGGATATTTTGGTATATTTGACATAACTTTAATTTAGAACTATAAATTAAACAATCTTCTTTTTTTTCTTAAACTTTATTACAAATTAAATTAGATCATTCTTTTTTAAACGAAGAGAGTAATAATGTTTTAATTAAGTGGTAGATGGATAAACTTTTTAGTTGAGGGAGAAATAATTAATGGAAATGGAAGAGTTATTGGTTAAGAAAGGAGTCGTACTATATATTAATAAGTAATAAATCTAGCTAACTATAGATAGTAATGTTATGACATTGACTATCTTTTCAATAAATAAAGGACTTTTTCAAAAGCTCAATTAAATTGGTGTATTTAATATCGTTTAAAAATGATTGACTAGTTTGATTTAGAATGCAGTTTAAAAAATAAATAATACTTTTTAATCGTATGATTCTAAATAAAAGTTATGTCAAATGTATCAAAATATCCTTTAATATTGTGGTCTTAAACATGTCACTTGTGAAGTTAAAGTTAAGTGTTACAAAAAAAATGAAATGGATCATTCGTTTTGAAACATACTAAAAAGAAAATAAAGATTTTATTTTTGAAACGGAGGAAATATGTATTTTTACTTTGTTTTTAACTATTGTTAAAACTATATTCTTAGTTGGATGTAAATTGTAAACACTTTATAGGAATAGATACTTTTCTTATCAATATATTGTTCTTTAGTTCTATGTAGGGATAAAGGTCTTAAAAATATATTAACTTTAGTCAAATTTATTATTGCAATATTAAACTTTTTTGACGATCTATTACATCTTTAAATTTTTTAATATTGTATTTTAAACATATATATTTGTTCATGTGGACATAAAAAATAATGTAAAATTATTAATAGTAATATGTCCACATGAGCACATGTATATCTTTAAATACATTATTAAATAGTTTAGAAATATAATAGTTCCTCATTAAAGTTTAGTACAAGAACAACAAATTCGATTAAACTTAAGATATTTTTCAAACCATTATCATTTTATGTATAAACAAATTTTTTTATATTTAATATAAATGTATATTTTTCTTACATAAATGCATCAATTAAAGTAAAAATTGATTGAAAAAGTTTTTTGGAAATTAAAATTAATGATAACACATTATTAGAGATAAAGACTATCAATAGATTTTGTCATCAAATATATTTCCCATAAATAAAGATATCAATAAGATTTGGATAATACTATTCAATGACTTGCTTGGTAGGTAGAGTTGTTGAAATAATAAATATCATTCCATGTATGCTTTTATTTTTGAAATTTATGTTATATTTTGTTTTTACTATTATTAGTTTTTTAGCTACGGATCCAGCTCCCCCCCTCCCCCTTTACCTCTTTCCTCTATTTCGTCAAGTGCACCCTTCGATAAGCGACACAAGTCTTATTTAAAGTTTAACGATCAAGATTATTTTATATTAATAACTATCATAACTATAGTTAAGTCAACTAATTTTAATTACTTCTTAAAATTTTTGCCCGATTAAATATTAACATAAGATGAGACAGAGGAAAATAGTAAAATGTGCGAACGCTTTTTTATAATTAAAAAAAGAAGAAGAAAAAAGAGTCACATGATAGGAATATGGAATTTGAAAAAAAAAAAGACGAGAGAGTGTTGGAGTGATCAAATGAATCCAAATAAACATTTGGTAAAAGTCAAGACGCGTCACACAACATTTTTTGACAAATTATATCCATGTATGTTATATAGAAATTTTACATAAGGTCTTATGTTAAAAAAAAATTTAAAATTTATGTTATATTTTTTATTTCATTTATTTTTAACAGTATTGACATATTGCAAGTCGTTTATTTTTTAATTGAAATTGATAGATTATTTTTTATCAAATATTTTAAATAATTTTATAATATCATATTTATAATATTAATGAATTGGTCAAACATAAATTTTATAATTTTAATTTCTATTATTGATTAATTAAATATATTTATTTAGAAAATATAAATTACTTTTTATAATATTAATTACGTAACTTGTGAGTTATGGCTAACATATAAATTAACAAAAGCGACACTTAACAAGAAACGAGCTAGTCTAGGAGTAATTTCTAGTTAGACAATGACAATTGGTGTCTGTCAAATTTTTCAATAATTAAAAGGGAAAAAAGTTTGATATATCTTTTAATTTTTTTATTTACAGTTGAGATATCACTTGTTATGAAAGTGATTCATAAATATCTATTTTCTTAAATAAATGATTCACATGTATACTTTTTCTCAAACGTAAGTAGAAAAATTAATTTTAATTTTTAAAAAAATATATAAATCATATGGGATATATTAGATCTCCATTAGTGACGATGTCAAATAAGATATGGTCTTTTCATTTAAGCAATTATCACTACTGAATTTTTTCCATCCATCCGCAACATAAACTTTAGTGTTTGCAAAATTTTAGCATTATGTTCCACAACTTTTTTATGTGTTCCATCAATTATAATCAAACCATACTTCTTGTTGCCATTGATGAAATCATTTGCAAATGCAAATCTTTTGAAATCCACTAACAGTGTATAGACAATACACATATATATTAGTTAACGTACAGTTCAACTACAATTATTATATTTGATTACATCAACTAAAATTTACCATAAAATCTCTCGAAAGGCAATATTGCCTAATAGTGCATTCAAAATATTATTGACTTAAAGCTTGTCCTCGTCCTCTTCATCCTCATCCTCGTCCTCCTCCTGGTACATTGCATACTCTTTGTCACAATGATGACTCAAATCGAATTTGAACACATCAAATTCCATATCTCCTTCATGTTTGAACACTAAAACATCTCCAACTTTCAAATTAAGTTCCTCTACAAACTCTATCCAACTACCCTCCTCTAATCGCCGACCGTTCACCTTCACTAACCACTTCTTATCATCTGTTGTCAATATTGCATGTTCATGTTGATCATGTCTCTTAAGATACTTCAAAAAACCTAATGGAATTTTCTATAGTAGAACAAATTAATCAATTAGACATTTTTCATGATAAAATTATTCATATATTGATAAATACATAAAGCATAGTACTATTATTGATGCTAATTTTATGTTGAAATTGAACAAGAATATCTAACGAAATAAATATATATTGTTAGTGTTACTTACAAGTCCATTCTTGAAACCTGGTAGAATAGGCTTGAAAAAGTGAGGTTTCTTTGGAGGAATTTCCATGGAAAATTATGTAATGGTTATAGAAAATGTTTTATATTTTAGGAAAGATTTGAATGTAAGAAGAATATTGAAAGTAAATATATAGTTGTAACTAGCAAGGGAAGTTGGAAAGTTACTATTAGTAATGGAATTAAAATGCAAGCGACTTTTCATATTCAGAGGACAATTGATATATTAGTGGACGATTTAAAAATTTGAGTTTATAAATTTTGAATTTTAAAAAAAACAGTATTTATTAGAATTTATATGGTATGCGTTTTGGCCGAAAATATTGTGTTATAACGAATCATTAGCAAAGTTGATATATGAGTGACTTTAATATTATCAGCTACAATGGTTCGACTTCTTAGTGATCTCATAGGCGAATTCAAGATTTGAAAAATCTAATGCACTAATATTAACTTAAGTTAGGTGTTAGCGAAACTTTCACTAACAAATGTCAGATTATGTAGTATTTAATTGACCGCTAACGACTTGAACTGTACATAAAATATTAAATACAAATATATAGATCTAATATAAGCTTATTAATAGTTGTACTCTACTTTGTTATAATTAATAATATAAGATTCTAGCTAGGATAGAACCCTAGCTAGTGAGCTATGGGAGTGGTGTTTTGTCTTGTACTGACGACCCAAGTGCATTTCTACGTTGTTTATGGTTGCACTGTTAATTATACTTTTAGTTTCTGTGACTTTTTTAAAATGAATATTTATATATATACATATAATTTATTCAAAGTTAATGATTTACATCACCCTTACCTATATATGTGGCTCCGCTTTTTAGTGATATTATTTCGTCTAGGTTTAGGTTATCATAACTTTAAAACACATCACCCTTACCTATATATACTTGTTTATTAATACATATTCAATATATTTATTGAGATTTTATCTTAAACTAAGGTGACACGTATCAAGTTATCAAATATTTCTCTTTACTTATTTTCGTTTAGAATTGTCAAACTCAGTACCAATTTACACTTAGATATACTACTATGACGACTTTACTATTTTGAGCTTGATCTTTTAAATAGTTGATCTCAAAATAACTTATTCTAAATCAAACAATTCCAAAATCGTAAAATTAAAATTTTAGTATAAAGTGGTAATATAAACTTTGTCCGTCCTTTATTTGATTGATTTAGAAAGATGTCAAACTTTCTACTCCTCCCTACTAAATCAAATCATTAACATCTATAAAGTGAGCCTATAATTATTAAGTGGTATATAGACAATGTTTGTAATTGAGAAAGAAATAATTAAAGGAAAGGGAAGAGTTATTGGTTGAGAAAAGAGCTGTACTATATATTAATAAATAATAAATATAGATAGCTATAAACACTAATTTATGACTATGGGTGTCTTTTCAATAATAAAGGACCTTTTGAAAAGTTCAATTGAATTGTTGTATTTAATATGTATCGTTTAAAAAATGAGGATTAGTTTGATTTAGGATGGAATTTTAAAAAAAAAATAGAAAAAATATTTCTTTTTAATCTTGTATGTCTAAATAAAAGTTGTGTCAAATGTATCAAAATATAATTTAATTTTGTGATCTTAAACATGTCATATGTGAAATTAAAGTGTTACCAAAAAAATATATTGGTCATTTGTTTTGAAACAACTAAAAAAGAAATAGAGATATTATTTTTAAAACGGAGAAAGTACGTATTTCACTTTGTTTTTGACTATAGTTAAAATTATATTCTTAGTTGGATGTAAATTGTAAACACTTTATAGGAATAGATATTTATCTTATCAATATATTTTTCTTTAGTTCTATGTAGGGATAAAAGTCTTAAAAATATATTAACTTTCGTCAAATTTATTATTGCGATACTAAACTTTTATGATGACTTATTACGTCTTTAGATTTTTTATTATTGTATTTTAAACATATATCTTTGGTCATGTGGACATAAAAAATAATGTAAAATTATTAACAGTAATGTGTCCACATGAGCAAATATATATTTAAATACAATATTAAATAGTTTAGGAATATAATTGGTACTCATTAAAGTTAAGTATAATAACAACAAATTTGATTAAAGTCAAGATGTTTTTCAAACCATTATCCTTTTATCTATAAACAATTTTTTTAATATTTAATATGAATAAATAGTTGTCTTACATAAATATATTAATTAAAGTAAAAATTGATTGAAAAAGTTTTTTGGAAATTAAAATTAATGACAACACATTATTAGAGATAAAGACTATCAATAAGATTTTGTCATCAAATATATTTCCCATAAATAAAGATATCAATAAGATTTGGATAAGACTATTCAATGACTTGCTTGGTAAGGAGAGTTGTTGAAATAATAAATATCATTCGTTTGAAATTTATGTTATATTTTGTTTTTACTATTATTAGTTTTTTAGCTACAAATCCAGCTCCATTTCGTCAAGTGCACCCCTCGATAAGTGACACATGTCTTATTTAAAGTTCAAAGGTCAAGATTATTTTATATGAATAACTATCATAACTATAGTTAAGTCAACTAATTTTAGAAAACTACTATTTAAATTTGATAAAAATTATAATATAGATCATACAAAATTTAATATTTATTTAATTGCATTAATTACATCTTATATTTTTATATTTAAATATTAAAATTGTTGAACATTAATTGTTTATATTTAATGTGATAAATAATAATCTTCAAAAACATTTGTATTTTAAACAATGTGTTCTTTTATTTCGCAAAAAAATAAAGAAAACATGTATTTTTTCCCTTCAAACGTACAATAACCACATTAATTTTCTTATTGGAATAATTTTTGATATTGTTTTATTCTAAAAACTTTTATCTTTTAATTTTTTATTTTAGTTTCGTATCTTTTATTTGATAGTTTTTTCAACATTGATAATTCTTCTCTTTTTTTTTCTCAATGTAATATAATATTTCAAGAATAAAGTTTACTAGTACATAAATTATTTAGTTGATTATCACCTTAAATATTATAAACTTTAATATTTAAATGTGAAAGTACAAGATGAAATTAATGATATTAATAAATATTAAATATTTCGTATGGATTATATTGTAACTTTTACCAAATTTAGAATGTAGTTTTTAAAATTAGTTGAATTAACTATGGTTATGATAGTTGTTAATATAATATAATCTTGACTTTAAATTTTAAATAAGACATGTGTTCCTTATCTAGGGGTGCACTTGACGAAATGGAGGGAAGGTGTAATGGAGGGTAGCCGGATATCTCCGTTTGATATTATTTGTCATGGTTTTTATTTTTAGAGTCAAACAATTCAAACTTGACTAACATTTTAACATATATTTTTTCATCATATTAATATTCAAAATATTGCAATTTATAGTTTTTTCATATAGTTTTAGTATATCTATTTTTTGTTTAACATATCAAATTAATGTGATATAATTTAACTTTGAAAATTAGTCAAATTGACTTTCAAAAAGCGCAACATGACAAACAATATTGAATGGAGAGAGTACTTGATAAATTATTTATTATTTAATATTTTAATAATTTTATGAAATTTTAAACTTTTCTAGTTCACCCCAACATTCCCCACTTGTCCGGCTGTTGCTGAGTAGTTTTTGGATATCAAACGGACCTCCCCAGAATGTAATCTTAATGTGGTTGATTTCCCCTTTTTTGCAATCAATTTCGCTACATCACCCGCTACTCTAGCTAATTGTCCACCCTTTCCAAGTGTGATACTATGTCATGTATGGCCGTGCCTAAGGACATATCGGTTGAAGTAGATTCTTCTATTGATCAATCAAAACCCATCTCAAATTATACAAGCTTCTTCCAAAGCATACGACTTTCTGGATGTAGATGATGACATCTATATATATGAATCTTATATATATCGTAGAATGAAGTACCACATGGGTGGATATATATATGAATCCAAATCTGCCGAATCACTCAAGATAAAAGTGCCAGACATGTAAATGAAATTGATTAATCATCTGTAACATCTATCCATCCCACAATTTCAATTAACCAATTCATTGAGTAAACTATTAAACTAAAAAGAGGAGTATCGTCTAACTTCATTAAAAAAATGAAACTTGCATTTTTATAGAATCAAAATAGAAACGATTTTCTAATTTGATCATTTCTTAGATTCTGGTGAATCGTATCAAATCCTATTTATAATAATAAAAATAACACTCTATACACATTTAAGGTTATATATATCGAGTTATAAATATACTTTTTAAAAATAAATTACTTATAGCAGATTATTATCGAGTTATAGCATATCGATTAAAAATATATTTAATTAAAAATAAACTATAAGTAATTATATAAATATTAATTAATATGTTTATATATCTTTTTTTATTTTTTACAATTAACTTTTTATTTTTATTTTTTAAATAAAATAAAAAGGAAAAAAAACGTTTATGTATAAATTGGTAAGTAGCACTAATTGTGGGATTTGAATTAATTTTAATTAATAATGGATAATTAACAAATTAGCACATATTAAGTAATTCAAAAAGTATTTAAATTATTCAGTTTCCTTAAAATGCTTAAATTAGTTTAAATCAAATTAAAACATGATTTTTTTCCTTTTTTTTTCTTTATCACCTTTTAAAGTTTTTAATATAAATAATAAATTATTATTAATTAAACTTATTAATTAAATTTCTCATTATATAGTTACCTTTTAAAAAAGAAAATCTAAATAATAGGGCTTTGATTTTAATTAATTTCCTATTATACGGTTGCCCAATAACTATCCACCCCCATCTCAACCAATACATACACAGACATTTTCCCCCAATACACTCCATCTCTCCCCAACACGCGAAGATATTTTGACCTTCCCTAAATCCCGCCTCACTCATCATCTCTTCCCAACACGCAAAGATTTTTTGTTCTTACCCAAATCCCACCTCACTCATCTTCCCCATTATCCTTCTCAGATCTGATCATCCCAAAACCCAAACATCCCTCTCAGATCAGTTCCCCATTAAGTTCATATAGAATGTCTAGGAAAGGTAGTGAAACCCCAAGTAAAAGTAAAAGATTGGTCGATGAGTCTGATGACTTTCATGTTCCTTCATTCGATATATTGTCA